TATATTTTAATACTTAAACGGTAAATTCACACATATTGAATGCGATCATTTTCATTAGGCCTAGTGACTTAGATCTTAAAATATCACAAGTTTCAACATAGATTTATTTTAGCCTCTCCGTCTGTATAATATTGACCTGCCTATATCATTGGAATGTCATGATGTTATCTGCACCCTAAAAGTGAGTAAAGCATTCAAGATCCACTTTTTTCGATGTTAATGCTTTTTCACTCACCTTTTTGTTATGCGAATGTTTTTCACTCAATGATTTAGCAAAACCAGTCTGTGAACATGTCTATGACTGAATGTGAACGGTGTGAAACGGTGTAAGCCGGTCTGTCCCATACGGTCTGTCCCACGTCCTCTGGCTCTGGCTGTCGGCTTTGAGGACGTCAGGTGGTGGGGGTGCGTTTTTGAACACTCGGAAAAAGGAGCATTTAGGTAGCAGTAGCGCACACAACAATGGACAACGGTCCTTTTTGTACGTCAAGCAATTTTAGTGAAACAGAGAAAAGACTATGTGATAATTCTTCAGTCGAGGTAGAAAATGGGCTAGAAGACGCTTTTGGCGAACTGACTGTCCTTCCTGTAGAAACCGAAGACAGAAGACCAACGTGCTTACGGTGCCGGTGAGAGCTGTAAGCTAATGCTAGCTAGTTGGACTCTTTATTATTACCCTATATAAAAACGGTTTTTGTCCGTTTTAGCTAATAAAATAAAGGATTTTAAAAGACGCAGAATTCTAATTGATTAATGTTAAATTATAAACTACGTTGCATTCCCGAATGAACAATCGTGTTAAATTGCTTAATGTTGTCATGGTGTCGTGTAAATCGCTTACTCAACTTCTTTCATTGTAACTTTGAGATTTGTTTTGTCTATCTTTTCCTCCCTGTAGCCGTCCTGAGAAGGTTTGTCTCTGTCCCTTTCTTCCACACCAACCCCTTGATGTGTCCACGTGTTTATATATTGTGCAGCACCCAAATGAAGTAAGTGTAACATACACACATGCATTAAAAGTGTTATTTGCATGATTTGTGGACGTTTGAGAAATGAGTTAGTCTGCTACAATAGTAATACCACTGTCCTAAAACAGGAAAGCAGAGTTCTTCGCACTGTGCCTCTTCTTGCTGCATGTTTGCCTCAGGATAAATGTAATGTGATTGTAGGAAGAAGATTCAGTGAGGAAAGGTAAGTGCTGATCAACTGTCAACTTATAATAAAATTATTTACTGGCAGGTTCATGATCTTTACTAATATCTTTAGATATCCAGATTTGGCTGCAGTTTGTGAAGACAACAAAACACTAATCCTGTACCCGGGACCAAACGCTCAGAACCTGGAGGAACTTGATGAAGAGAAACTTAATACACAACATAATGTTATTCTCATTGATGGTACTTGGAGCCAGGCCAAAAACATGTTCCTCAAAAATCCTATGTTCCATTTGCCCAAACAGGTAAATGATGAGAAACAAAAGGTTTTTTTTCATTATATGGACTTTTTTTTTTTTTTTTCAAATTGACTTTTTATTGAAAAAAGCAGATTACACATTGCAGTGTGTAGAATGAAATAACACATTCCTGCTTTTGCTTTTTTTTTTTTTAACATATACAAACTCAAAACAGGTTGGGAAGCCAGGCAACCTCTTTCACAAATTAACAAAACATTGCAAATATGAAGTAGTTTTTATATGAAGCACAATATCAATCTCAGTTGTTGGTCACTCAGGTTTAAGCCACTTACTTTTTATTGCCTTTTTATTTACAGCCAATAGCATGTGGAGTAATCTCTAGTTTGTGCTGTTAAAGCCATCTAGTACTAGATTACCAAGATACAAGGCATCAAATGACAGGGGGAAAACAAATTAAAAAACATTTTGCAGGTGTTGATGAATCTCTGACCAATATTCTTGGATGCTTCCACATTCCCAAAAAATATGGAAATGATTAGCATCATCATTGCCATCAGTCTGCACCAGGGCAGCTGTGGCTACAGTAGTAGCTTACCACCACCAAGTGTGGAGTGAATGAATAATGAACTGTAAAGTGCTTTGGGTATCTTGAAAGGCGCTATATAAATGCAGTGATTACTTAATTAATAAACTTAATAATTGCCACATCTCCAACAGGCATCGCCTATTCCCTGCTATCTCTTCTGTACTGTTGTAATGAAAAATGTCATTAGGTTTTTCCAAAAGAAATCACGCCAGATATTTGACCCTGTTGAGATCAGCTGTATTTGACATATGTGCTCCTAATTGTCTTCCGTCATTATAAACTTTCCCTCTCTTTCCCACTTCTCTTTCACATAATATGTGTTCTCCCCCTTACCCAAAAGGATGCCATTATACAATTTTGAAATAATTTTTGTGGGAGATAATGATTTTATTAGTGACATAAATGTTTGTAAGAAACCCTGGTCAGCTGAGGGAATTAGAATTTTTTTGATTGAAATAGTGCCTTGTTTGCAGGTAAATAAAGAAATCTTCAGAGCCCAACCCATGCTTTTGTTTTAAAGTGTCAAAAGTTTGGTATATGGACTTTTTATGTATTTATCATTTGCATTACAGATACAGCTCAACAGAGTCCTCTCAAGTCAATACGTTATTCGGACTCAGCCTTCTAATATTTGTCTCTCTACACTGGAATGTGCTGCTGTCACTTTGTCTATCCTTGAACAGAATGATAATATTCAAGAGGTGAATAGGTTTCTTATTAAATTATTATGAAAAAGATTGCATGCAAATATAGTTATTGCAAATAAGATGCACATGGTAACCTTGTAATTTTGACTCACCAGGTCCTGTTGAGGCCATTAAGAGCCCTGTGTTCTTTTCAGTTGCAACATGGTGCACAGATTCATCACAGTAAGGAACATCTTCTTAAGACTGGCATGTATGACAAACCTATGCCTAAGAACAAACGCAAGATAAAAAGGATGGAAAAACTTGTCAGTGATCGGCATATTTGTCCCAGATGACACAAGAGTGAAGAATGCCATACTCATCTAATTAATATATTTTCAAGTTGTTTTTTTGTTGTTTTTTTGTTGTTGTTTTTTTCCTTTTATTGTTTTATTTTCATTTTTACAGAAACCAGATTGATAAACACATACCCATTAAGGCTGTATGTGTATCAGGTTTTATATTTATTATAATTAACAGTGCCTTTTATGGGTTGTCCTATCACCAAAGAAATACATCTGAGTTCTTCAGTATCCAACACATGCGTAGGCCAGGGTTCACCTCAGCTGTGTTGTATAGTCATGTATGTATGATGCACATGGGGGCTGGTTCAGTGTGGACGGTTTAAATGTTAAAATATTTCTCACGTGTCTACCTTGGTTTCTTACGTAAAATAAACATTTTGAATCAAATGCATTTTCTGTTGTGCTTCATGATTTTGCTTTCTCCACTCATAACGTATTTTCCACGTTTTCGCTTTTTCCTATCCTCCTATTCCGTCCTCAATTGCGCGTGCGTGTTTCGTTGCGCGTCTCCCACCATCTCTGTGGGCTACCCCATTGTCCAGTCTGGAGCTAACAGCGGCGCTAAATTACTTCATATTGAAGATACAGTATTTTCATGTTTAGAGGCAGAGTCTGCAAAAGTGGGGACTTTATCTGAATTCTCGACGAGTAAGTGAACCACAATGGACGACGACCAGCCCAAAACACTGTAAGTCTGCATTTCATGTAGCTTAGCCTTGTATTCATCACGGCGAGTTACCCGGTATCTTAAAATCCAGACAGCATCTTCAATAAATTTAGTGCGACACTTAAATACAAATACAGTTTTGTAGACTGCTTTCAGATTTGTTTAATGTTAATGTTAACGATCATTAACTACAATTGTCCATATATGCAGCTAAAAGTAATAGTACTCTGATTGTTATAGTTTGCAGGCCAGATGCAGAAATTTAAATGTATGACAAAAACATTAGATGGTAAAGCGTACATAAGACAAAACGACTGCCCTTTTATTATAGTGTAATAATTACAGTGCGTACACTCAGTTCTAATGCAAGCTGCATCAGAACAGAGTTTATGTGGTTGTCTCCGTATGATGCATACTCAAATTTACCAACTTTTTTAGTACGTTGTGAAATTAATATTTGTTTTCTTTTGTTTGTTTGTTTAGTTAAAACCTATAATATCGTATGGTTGAGATGAGCGGTTTGTGGAGAAATTGTAATACAGTTCTCTTTTTTTACAAGTTATGCCTTAAATTTCAGAGTAATCAAATTTATCAAAATCTGTCAGATCTTTTATAATTCACTTGATCTGCTCAAAATTATGCAGGGATCGAATATTTCAGTCAACTTCTTCATCATCAATGTAAAAAAAAGAGGGACCCCTAGTGGATTTTCGTGGTATAGTTGTATCAAAGTAAAGAATAGCAATAACCGCTTTCTCCCCCTGTTAAGTACTATAGAAAAGTATGAAAAAATAATTTATTTGTGTGTGTGTATGTTTTTTTAGGTATGTTGGGAATCTGTCCCGTGATGTCACTGAAGCCCTAATCTTGGAGCTGTTTGGTCAAATTGGACCTTGCAAGAGCTGCAAAATGATTGTAGATGTAAGATCAGAGTATACGTCAGCATTCAAGTTTGACTTAGACTTACTGTAACCTTTGTCGTGGGAGGTCAACTACTGACTTGTCACCATGGTGATGATATTGCTTTGTTTATTTTGATTGCTTAATATGTTTGAGGCTTAGGTGTTTAGAAAATTTCTGTATTCATCCACCTTCTATTGCTGCCCACTGCTCTGTACTTATCATAATAATTAAAAAATTCAAAACTCTGGGTCAGATATTAGTGTTGAAACAGGTCATGTAGCCAACCCTTTTTCAATAAAAACACGTAAATGATAATCTTATGCATGCAATAGTGAAATGCCACTGCAAAGAGCTGAGGCCTATCATTACTCTCAGGAAATCAAAGGACTGGTTTCTGTTAAGTTGATTTAGATCAATATTGTGGTATAATAAAATGTTTGTTTAATACTAAATACATAAAAGTTTTAAGTAATTAATTAAGTTACTGCTATTTGTGTTCATGTAACACAAGCAATAACTATAATTCTAACTGCATTTTTTTCCTTGTCCATTACAGACTGCTGGACATGATCCATACTGCTTTGTGGAGTTTTATGAGCATAGGCATGCCACTGCCACAATTGCAGCTATGAACGGTCGGAAAATATTGGGTAAGGTAAGATACCTTAATAAAAGGCAGAAGAGTGAGAGCAAAAAAACTAAACAAAAATAGTCGTGTTTTTGTATCAGTGTCTGACTGTGCTGTCCAATGCTTAGTTAGAGTGTTCAGAACCTGGCAACAGTTTTTAAATGAAAATTGTGATTCAAATAGATTTAGGTCAAGTACACATAATATTTCTATAAATATTATGTGTACTTGTGTTAAAGTTACACTTCTGTGAATAAGATTTTTCTTTATTTTTTTTGGGTGCTCCGTACATCAGATTTATTTCTCCTCCACTGATTAGTCTATAGGCTGCATACCCTGCAACAGAAATATACATTTTGATAGATATTTACCATTTGATTGGGGTATCACCAGAGTGTATTGTTGCCAATGTTGCATTTTAATAGTTTTAAGTTTTTACAAATATACTATTACATACTATTATACTATTACATGATACAAAATTATTCACTCGTTATGTGATCACTATTATACAATTAATGTATAAATGTTTTGTGATTAGACTTGTTGTTAGAGAGTTGGAGTAGAGAAGTATGACAAAACAATTTGAAAAGAAAACAGTATTTATTTTGAAACGTGTTGACTACCTATTATGTATTTGAATAAAAAACATTATTCATACATTTCTATCTAATAAAAATGTGTTGCATATACAGTGTATAGTTCAGTTACATAGTGAAAATAGACAAATGTGGTGTGTTGCTTGATACCAATGCCCCTTTGAATCACAGAAACACTAGTCCTTACATTTAAACTAATTCTGTTCAAATAATAATTGTCTCTATAAATGTCTCACTTGTATCTACATCTCACAAAGTGGTTGATTGCATTGTGGCTCCTCTTTGCATTATCTGTTTAGTTATTATTTTTTTTATATACAATATCAATTCCTAAGCACAGTTTCACAGCAGTCCATTCTGTTGAAAATATTTTATCCTCAACAGGTATTGAAGGACCATTTGAGGAGTATAACAAGTTCGTAAAAATCACTTTTTGTAAGTCCCTTATTATTTGGACCTTACCTCCTACAGTTTTACTCCAATTCCTATTGGTGTGACATAGAAAATCTCCTGATTACAAGGGTATTTCTTTTCTGTCCACTCTGTTTTGTCTTTTGTGTTAGAATGGTTTTAAATGTGTGAAAAGGCAATGGCTGTTTTAGCTGTGGAAAATATGAATGAAAATCACTTACAAAGACTGAAAACCTATGGCAAACTGGTGCGATCAAATATTGTCTCAATTTACAACCTACATTGACTGAACCATTCCCTTCCCTTTGGTTTCCCCAATCAATTTTTTGCAGGAAGTCAAAGTTAACTGGGCTACTACACCAACAAATCAAAAGAAAGACACAACCAGTAAGTTTAGTTATGAATATTTGTAAATTGTGAATCTGATAGACTATTAATTATTATTTTTATTTATAGATCATTTTCATGTTTTTGTTGGCGATTTAAGTCCAGAGATAACAACAGAGGACATCAAAACAGCCTTTGCTCCATTTGGGAAAATATCGTAAGTTAAGATGAAATCCACAAATGCTAAGTGAAAGGGATCTAATTCTCTTGAGTTGTATGTTTCCTTCAGAGATTGTAGGGTTGTCAAAGATATGGCTACTGGAAAATCCAAAGGCTATGGCTTTGTTTCATTCTTCAATAAATGGGTAACTGGAGTTTTATATATTTTATTATTTTATTTTTTATTATTATATATCTATTATTTTATACTATATATTTTATGGCCCTATTAGGATGCCGAAAATGCCATTCAGCAGATGGGAGGGCAGTGGCTGGGAGGAAGACAGATCAGGACTAATTGGGCCACAAGAAAACCTGCTTCCAAAACTACAAATGAAAGTATGTTTTAGCAATGTATTACTCCTAATTTAAACCCTGACATGTTTGTAAAAATTTGAGAAGTGGTACATTACTAAAAAAAATATGCATTTTTCATATAACCAAAGCGACCAATGCCAAGCAGCTATCATTTGACGAGGTGGTCAACCAGTCCAGCCACAGCAACTGCACAGTCTACTGTGGAGGTATCACATCTGGTCTCTCTGGTACGTAACATGTTTTTAAGCTGTAAATGCCAGGCAGCACATCCTGCAGTTATAAGTCTATTTCCCCCTTTTTTTAGAACAAATAATGAGACAGACTTTCTCACCGTTTGGCCCTATAATGGAAGTCCGTGTTTTTCCTGACAAAGGCTACTCATTTGTTCGGTAAGCTCCTTCACATTTAGTCTACAAGGAATATATTTATAATTTACTTGTTCAATGTATTTTTTTTATTTTAAATGCAGATTTAACTCTCATGATGCAGCTGCTCATGCCATTGTTTCAGTAAATGGTACGTCCATTGAGGGATATGTTGTCAAATGTTACTGGGGGAAGGAGGCAATAGACTTGGTCTCCCCTGTACAGCAGATACAGATGCCACAGGTATGCATTATGCTTCATGCATGTGAGTTAGTTGGATTGTGAGATTGTAAAGATGAGATACAGTTATGTTTCACAGTGGTAGAGCGTTCATCCACAAGCGGCAATGGTTTAAACATAGCTTCCCCTACTGTTGTGTTCTTGGACACATTGCCCATTTGTAAATGGTGGAAGTATTAGCCTTATCCAGGCTATAATTCTTTATTTGAAAGCATCAGATCAGATTCAAATCAGATTTCCTTATCTGTTTTAGTTGAAGTGCATATGACAGGTTTTTGTAATTATTATTTGGTTTGATGGTATAGTACTTGCGGTAAAGATCATCATCAAACTATGATAGTTTTACATCAGTTATGTGGCAAAATTATGTGGAAAAATAGTGAGAAAGTTCTAAAACACAATACCTATGACATCAAAACTGCACAAGGAAGGCCTTTTTGACAGTTTAAACCATGTCTAACCAGGAAGTAAAATTATAAACCAAAGTTTTAGAACTAGAAAAAACTAGGCAAGATTTTCAGTAAAAAATATAATTATAAATATAATGATGTTAATGTGATGTCTGTTTCATCATATATTTTTGCATGCCAACAGAACACTCTGAGCTTCGCAGCACAGCCCTATGGTCAGTGGAGTCAGTGGTATGGTAACACACAGCAGATTGGTCAATATGTTCCCAATGGCTGGCAAATGCCAAGCTTTGGAGTCTATGGGCAGTCTTGGGATCAACAGGGCTATAAGTATGCAGAACAATTGTGCATGTGTTGTTAATGCCTTATTTTCACCCGTTTATTTATATCTTTTTTGTCTATTTTATGTTCCAGTCACTTACAAGTTGGCGCGAGTTGGGCTGGTGTAGCGACTCTGAGCAATGGTGACTTGGTGGACACAGCACAGGGGGTTAATGGGATGGTGCTAACCAGCCAGTCAGGCATGGGGACAGCTGGTTTTCATACCCACTGAACTCTGGCAAGACGAGCCCTTCACCCAAGTCTTTGGGGCCACAAGGAAGACTCCGTACTACAAAAATGCCCTTTCATGAGGAGGGTTTTTCTCAACCGTATTGGCCTTTAGCTTCACCCATAGCTCACCTATGCACTCAGAACATTTAAAGGCCACTATCTTTCTTTAGTGCTGAATTATTGTCTTGGCTATTTTTCGAATGGCCAAACAATGGTCCCAAATTAATGAAATAAAACTTATAGTGTGAATATTCATTTTGCTCCTCTTCAGGCTAAAGATCAAACAAGATCAGAATTTGAAACCAATGAATAATGGGAATAATGGGCATGGTCATAGCTTATTCCTTGGAAACAGTTTAAGAGAGTACCTCATTAAGATGTTTTCCTCCGGATACTCTACTTATCACAGAACATTTTTCCGCTGCAGACCAGTGTTAGTAACTTACAGGAAAGTACTACCAGAGGGTCATTTGTTTATAATTTAGTAACAGACCTGTTGAGACTTTAACCAATCAAGTCCTGACTGCTGTCTGTTACATCTCTCTCTCAACCTACGGACTTGAAACCCTGCACATGAAATGAGACATTCAAGTTCATTGCTTTCTTCTGATTCAAAATGAATTATTCTATGTTTTCCAATCCAGAAAATATTGTAATTACTGTTCATTTTCTTTGAAGGAACTTCAGAATGTTTACCTTGTCAAGGAATTTTTAGTTTGTGCTTTATTTTGGTACTCTTTCATGAAATTGTTGCCATTACACCATTATACTTGAATTATGTCACACCAGAGGACTGCTTGTTTATAAATCTTCAGGTGGCTGTCTATGTCAGCTTTATTTTTTATTTGATGAAATGAACTAGTTGCAGGGATTACTGCCACGTTTACCTAACTCAAAGGCAGACAAATGTTGCACAATGATTTAAGGTAATTATTTTGTAAACTCTGAAATCCTTGTAGTTTATATTTTTGCCTTTCCCACTGCTTTCAAACAAATAGCGAATACATTCAAATATAATGTCTTTGCATAAGTCCAAGTCAAGTGCTAATCATGTACAGTAGAAACATGGCAATGTGTAGTTCTCCCAGAAGTTTGAGGCACACACAACATTGCTATGCAGTGCGAAACTGTCAAGTCGCCTTGTTTTAAGTTAATAACAGTAGGTCAGACTATTGTTTTTTTATTTGAAAACATAAAATGTGATTTTTGCACTGTTAAACCATATTTGCCTTTTTAAAAATTTTATTTTATTTTTTTGTTAGTGGACAAGTCATTTACATTGGGAGCACAATTTCTCAAGAAAAATAAAACATTTGCGTTCAAACAAATTCATTCATTATACATTACTTGACATGCTTGTCATTCAGACAAGTAGAATGTACAATATACATATGCTCCAAATTGTGTTTAAGGGTTTTTTTGTTTTGTTTTTTTGTTTAATATAGCAACACAAGATTCAATAAATACACACACACACAAAAGGGCAAGAGGAAACAAATTTTTAAAACCTTGTCCCCTCTCCTTTCTGTTAGACAAACAATTCACACAAAGTCAGGTCTCAAAAGCTATATACTGGATGCATGCGTTCTGCCAAAACCTGTAAAATGTTTCCTTTTTTAGTCTCTTAAATCTTTCCATCAAAAATATTTAAACAGTACTGTACAACTCTTCCATACTGGTATATCAGTTTGAAGCCATTTTCTTGTCTGTCTTTTCTTGTCTTTTTTAAAAAAATATATATATTTATTTTTATTATTATTATAATTTTTGCTGATAATAAAATAATCCTTAATAAGTATTTGTTTGCTACTGTATTGACATTTGTAATCTCCTGGCATAAGTACATATATAGAAAATCAAAGGGAATTTCATTCATTTGAGTTACCATTCCTGATTATTCTCTTCTCTTTGAGTTTTCTGATAATGAAAGCCCAACCTCTGATGCCTGGCCCCAGTATAGGTCAGAGCTGCTGTAATACAAAGATACAGCAGAAGGAGCATGGGCCTTCCTCCACAAGCTGGAAAGGCGACTTTGAGGAGCATGTGCAAATGCCCTAAATTTGCCTCTACGGTGGAACCTGTGGACTGAGCTGCAAAAATAAAACCTTTGGGTTTACTCTTCAAAATGCCTTCTCAGAGGACAGGAACAACAAGAAGGGTGTGGTGGTTGTGAAAGTGATCATAGACTGAGGGAAGAGGAGAAACAGAAAGTCAAGAAGTGATGTACACGAATGACACGAGTGGAGGGGTGATGGGCACATAAGTGGAGGGTTACCAAATGTTTTTTTGTTTTTTTTTCTCCAGCTGACAGCAGACACTGCAATACCAACCAGAGATGGCACCACCATTCTATAGACTTAAGTATGGGGAAAAAGTCAAACCAAGAACACATCCAATCACACGTCCAATTCTACACATCCGATCACATTTGATGGACTTTCTGAAAATACAAGGCTGGCACACAGGACAAGCAGCATAATGACCTTTAGCTTGTCCATTAGACAACAAACACTCTGGAGTCAACAGTGACACAGGAAGCACTTCTCATCCCTATCTGCACTTCAGTTTCAGGTCATTGTAGACTATATCCCTTATGACAAGATATAATGTGTACATTGATGATTAATAGCAATTTAATAGTTGCATTTAAGTTTTGGTTTCATAGGAGGGCATAAAGCTTCCTATATAATTTGGAGCACACTACAGCAAGTCCTTTGAAGGAAACTAAAACAATTAAATCTGAGAGACGCAACATAACTTTGACAAATCTCTTCCTTGTGAGTTTAAGATTTTTACAATTTATTTTTCAGAGCGATATTACTCTCTTAACTTTGTTTTATGATAAACCAGGTGGTTGCTGTGTGTGTGTGTGCAGCTTCTCACTGCCTTTCCATTTTTCTTAGACTTAAATCTGTCTTCATTGCTTAAGACTCTATGGACATCTGTCCTGATGGCAATCATTTTAATCCAGTGCTATAAATCCCAATCCAGTGCCACACTGGGCACAGAGTATATAGAAGTTTAAATGTGATGGATTATTTTTTCCCCCAGTCGCTTTGGTGCATTGTCTCAGATCAGATCTTTTTCAAAACTTCAAATGCTTCCTTCAAAACAATTCATTCAGTCAGCAAAGCACAATATAATGATTGTTAATAACTGAGTTTACTCCAAATTCTTGTCTTACTAAGGACACTTGAACAATAAATAATCAGTTTATTTTATTGATAATTGTCAAATTTATTTTGTAATTTTCAGTAAGTGTTCCAAATGTGGATGAATATGTGGTCGATTTGGGTTTCCATGAGTGAAGTGACAACATCACATTTGTCAACAACTTTAAGCAAGACACTTTACCCACATTGCCTAATATGAAAGTGGTGTGTGTGTGTGGTGGGGGTCAGTGGAGGGGGCTAATGGTGCAGCCTCACTTTCATTAGTCTGCCCCTGGGCAGCTGTGGCTACAATAGTATCTTGCCTCCATCGAGTGTGAATAGAAGTAATAATGCTCTGTAAAGCGTCTTTGAATGTCCAGAAAAGTGCTATATTAAGCTGATTTAGTATTATTACTATCACCTGAAGAAGGACGCAAAAGGCATTCGAAACATGTCAAGGCATGTGTAACCAACACACATTAAAAATAACTTTCATCTATAAATAATACTGGAAGACCAAAATGAACCTCTTTAAAGTGATAAGTTCCAACTGAGTTTTTATATCTCAACATACATGGCTTCGCTCATCTTCAGCATCGTCATACAATGTAATTTTATTGAAGACAATTCGCTGACTATTACTATACATTACAGTATAGTTCAAACACACTTTTGTCTTGTATTCATGTGTCATCATGCAATATAAAATAATGCTTAATAAACAATTGCATTGTTTCACAATTGTAAATATGTTTATATTTCTGTAACACCGGTGCATTCTGTATCCAATGAAACATATAGGCCATAGTCATGATCTAACCAGTGTTTTAAAATGAGCAAATCCTAACAAATGAATACAAGTGAAAATATGTTTATTGTGTTAGTTTGACTTGGAAAAAAAAATGAAAAGTCAACCCTATGTATGTACCAGCAGATGGCAGCAGACATCTGTGGTAGAGATAGACCAAAGCATACTGTAAGACAGCTGATCACTAGCACATAGAACAAAAAAGGTAACTTAGCTTCAAGAGCTGCACAAACTCCAAGTAAAATAATATTTGTCTAGGATAGCAAAAGTGCTATGTTATTTTATTATATACTTTAAAATCTAATTAATTCTACAAACTAAGCAGTTTGTTCAATGGTTTCGTAAACAAACAGATAGGGTTTTCTACAGATTTCTACAGATTCTTCCCATTGCTCGTGGGTGTGATGGTTCTGTTCAGATTTAGACCTAAGTTTGATCTCGAGAGTATGAGAGGTACATAACAGTTCAGGCACTGAGTATTTTCTGCATTTCTCAAGGCTAGATCAAACTTGTTGCACAATAGCCTGCCTCCCCTCTATCAGCAACCTGTCTGTCAACAAAAGGCATTCAAACAAAACACAAGCTGCAAAAAGGACTTCATGAATTAGGTCCTATCTTAACTCATTAGCCCAGGGCTGCAGTGAAGGAGGAGCTGTTCAGCTATAATAATCAAGCTAACAGTGTGTCTATATACCCAATAACCTCAGTGTCCTTGTGTCATTTGTAGAGTTAACCAACCAGACAGTATGGGTCCTATTCTAATCAACAGCTCAATCCACCCTTGTTTCCTGCTTGTCAATAACTGTGCTACACTCCACATTGACTTATAAGGAGAGGAAATCAGCTTTGGATGATGGATGAGATGGATGACTTGTATTGTTTGTTTTCTTTGCAAAAGACCCGCAGTTGAGATCCATCAATACAACCATTTTATTCCTGTAATCTGTCTCTGCAGTCATCTGAAGCCATACTAATGAGCACTAGGTCTGCTGTATGTCGCCCATGCATGTGAAAGTTTCCCTCCTTTCTTCGCCTGCCCTC